TTCAATAGATAATAGAGTTCTTGATAGAATATGCGAAAAAAATCTTACCTCGAATTCATCATCAATTAAATGAACTTACAGTTGAATAACTTTCAATGAAACATATACTTCTTACTGTTAATTACCCTCAACTTTACTCATTATCACTTGTAAACTTTCAAGAAGAAATGCTTTTTTAATATTTGACAGGTGTACTATTGAGTTTTGTTCATTTAAATGAATAAAATAAGAAAATGATGAGACATACAATAAGCATCACCTAAGTTTTTTTTTTCATATTGAAGACGACTCAATTCTTCGTGATCTTCTTGCTCAAAAACTCACGCATCTTAATATCGATGATCTGGATGAGCAAACAACAGAATTCTTTGAAATTCTATCAAGTATGTTTGTCTTGATTTTATCTTTGTACCAACAATTATTCAGTTTAACTTTTTGTAAATTTCGCCTACTTTCTCAAATGTAGATAAAATGGTAACCGTAATTTTGGTCATTGTGTTTTGAAGAAAAACACTAAACTAAATAGATAGACATTCTTAAGTTTCTTTTCTTTTTAGACGAAAATTTCTAAATTGAAATTTTTCTCATTGATCTCAGTTAATTACACCAGACCTTATGAGAATGAAATTATTCCACTACTTCGTCGAATGATAAATCTTGAAGAGTTATCAGTATTAAGAGATCACTCGACTTATATTGATGGTATTCAATTACATAATCAAATTCTCGTTTGTATGACACTACTAAATAAATTTACATTCAGTATAAATACAGGTGTTTCTAACGACAAACTTAGAATTGCCCTTCCATCAAACGAAGACATCCAACGTAGTTTCATTGGAGAAGCATATGATTAAGTTGGTTCATATGTCCATACTAAACCAACGAATCCCGCAGGCAGATGCCATGTCTATTCACTTTCCTATCAATTCGAAGATTTTCTTTTTCTCAACAATCCGTTCCAAGGTGGCATGTTTGATAAAGTCCGATACTTGACAATGATTGATTCATGTCCTTTTGAACGTAAATTCTTCGAATTTATCTCTCGAGATTTTTCTTTTCTCAACGAGTTACATATACGCAATAATCAACGACAAAAAATGAAGCAACATTGATTATTTTTCCTCATCTTATTCTTCTCAACTTGGTTAACGCACATGTGAATTATGCTGAGCAATTTCTGTTCCATAGAAACACTGGTATGCCTTGTTTGTTAGATCTGTCCATCAAATACGAATCACTAGCAATAGTGACAAACAATTTTACTAACGATGCAGCACATCTCACTTGTGCTAAGTTAAAAAGACTTCGTTTAGATGATCTTTTTGTTCGTCCAGAAAATTTTGATCAATATTTACCTTTATTATAATGATTGTTTTTGTTAAAAATTCTATCAATAAAAGAAAGGAGTTTGCAAAAGTTAGATACATTTTTCAATCATGCTGATCCAGTAAAATAAAAACATTTCAATAAGAAAAAAAAACAATGTTTCCCTAGTGTGGTATAGTTCAACATAGAATAGATTTATCGTTATACTGTTATTATTTACACTTATTTATTGACAGTTAAAGAAACATGACTAACAATGGAAGGGTTTGTACTGTTCAGCAAAAAGGTTAACCATGTTCGGGTCAAATGATCACTGTCATCGAGAAACTAACGAATTTAAAATATGAGCTGCTCATGGCGCGCTTGAACAGAGATATTCAATTTTTAAGTTATGCATATTTTAGGTATAGAAGCATGATAATTTAAGAACCAGTCCATATAAATCATGACTGATCTTGCTCAATTGAGGTCTTCAGATTTGGCTCAATTCGGAACATGCTGTAGAGGAAAGAGTTTGAAGAATTTTGACGCAAGCCGTTCGAAAACATAATGTTCCGCTGTCAAAATTTTAAAAATTTTCTGAAAGCACTATCGTCAAAGAAGCATCTTTTTTTGTGACATTTGAATATCATCAAAAATATATCCGCTTGGTGTTAAATTTATACTAAGCATATACTAGTGCTTAACTTCGCAGTCATGGGAAAAGCTAGAAAAATAGTATTCTATATTTATTGTGTATAAAATCGTATTTAAATGATATTTACCATTTTCAAATACTTCATGTGCATTATTATTATTATGTATAGAACAAAGAATAGTAGGATCGGTAACAGTTATGTCAGTCTACTTGCGTCTAGTACTGGATTAATGCTAAGAAAGACTTAAAGTAATATATTAATTGTAATTAAACGATGAGTTTTTGCTTTGACCGTTAATTGCACATAATGCTACTTGTTTAGAAAGTGGCACTAGACTGCAGTGTATTTTTTAATAACAGATGAAAGTCACATTGGCTTAGACCGAAAAAATGATTGGAATTGTTTTATATCTGTTAACGATGAACCTCTATTCTGATGTTTAAGCAATGGTCAAGATTTATCTTCATATTGCTACTACTTTAGCAAAATAGGAGTTAAATGTTGAGAGGTGATGAATGAATTGATCATGTTATCATGACAGATTAAATCGATTGATTGTTTTATTCAAGACTAGTTATCAATTATTATAGAAGAGTGAACAATAGCGAATTGATTTTCGATGATGTCAAATATGATATAAAATTCGATGAATTAGGATCGATAGATGACGATGATTGAAATAGGTTACTATTGTCTTACGTAATTGAACGAATTGATTTTAATTAGTTAGTAAATAACAAATCCTTGCAATTTTGAGTATTTGAAATCGCATCAAATTGCGAAGAGGAAGCTGTCAATCTAGTTTTATTATTTCCAATAGCCTTTATAATTGCCCTTCGAAACGCGAAAGATCATTAAATCTGTTTGTTTTATTACTGAGTTACATAACGAGGAAGAGACAAATGATTGCTCGATAATCGTTCATGGTTAGTAACTATTAGTTCAATCTATGGAATGCTGGATTTATTCTCAAGTGTAAGAAATGTTTGAGAAGTTGAATTATTTCTTTTCTTCAGCAATAATTTTTGTTGTGATATAGATGTTCTTGTGCAGTTCATTAGTAGACTAATAGCAATTGTAATACGATATTGTGGTGATTGTTTTGATGAAGTTATTGCGGAAATAATATAATAAACCTGACTTTTTAATCTATACTTTGTTCTGATTCAAAGAGCAAACATCTTACTTTGTCGTTGAATGACAGGTGAATTGACACTCGTTGGAGTTACTAGACCCGTGATTTTCTTGTTATCAGACTATTGAAGAAATTAGCCAAGGAACCTTCATTTACTGCCGTACTGGAACCACCAGATGTAGGTACTCTAAAAAAAAACAATTTTCATATTTTCAACTAAAATTACATTGTGATCAGTTCTACCGGTTGGATTCGTCACTGACTAGACACCGATGGCGTCTATGAGCCAACACCACTGGTTACATCTGATGTCATTGCAGTTCGTGGAAGTACAGCTATTGCAGTTTCATGCTAGAAATCAATATTAACATAGAAATATAACGATATCGTTTCTACATATATACTTACAGTTCTCCTAGGTGATGCAGCTCGATTAAGTGTTAGTTGAAGACGAGACAAAAACTTTTGATCATCTTCAACTATAAAAAATTTCATGGAAGTGGTCATGTACACTCCGGTGCACATGATCGCCTAGCTATGTACACCCAAGTAGGTATAGTCAACATATAAGCGTCTAATGCAGTAATGTTAGTCTTATATGCTAATTGTACCTAACTAAGTGCACATAGCTGATCGGCTATGTACACTCAGGTAAGTGGAATCAACATATAAGACTAACATTGCTATATTAGAGTCGGTGACACGACAGATGAACTTCCGACAGTTGAGCCTCCATTGATTAATTACGTAAGGAATAATATCAATATTCGATCACTTTATTCAACTCAAAATTGATAAACAGAAATACGCAATATCTTCCTATGAGATTAAAGGCTTGCTATTATAGTTATCCTCAACTGAATCAGTGACATTTATGAAAATGAGTAAGATTTTCAAATTATTTTTCTTTTTTTACATCTAGTGTCCATTACTGTTCTGTCTCAATCTATTATTATCATACCATCCCAGGTCGAAAAATCAGACGTAAGATCTTATAACATCAGATGAGATTGTGAAAAATAATCGTAGTGTCAGAAATCTTAGAGTAAGTCGCACTATAAGATCCTTGAAAGATCTTACTGTCGCATAAGACTTTCTATAATCTTACAGTAAGATCTTACAAGGTAGCAAGATCTTTCAAGAAGTTAATAATACGACTTGTTATAAGATTTCTGAGACTATGATTTTTCGTACGATTTTCGTCTGATATTACAAGATCATATAAGATCAGAGGCAGAATCTTGTCAGATCTTAGCATCTAATTATTTGCCCTGGGATGTCAATTGTGGAATTCTCAACCGTCAAGAATCAACTTCTACTTGATGACTTTAGTTACCAACGGAGAGTGTGAACGAGGCTATAATCGTATTGGAACGTGGACATTCTGTTCACATTCATCTACGCTCACACATGCGTTCATAAATCGGATTAATTAGTCTTCGTGATGATAATTTATTTAGCTATACAAAATTTATCAGCTAGTCAGCAATACTATGGGAACATGACGCATGTTTGTATATACCAGCGACGGGCATAGGACAGGATAATACTATAATTTATGTCCTGCTCTGCCACTTGTCAGAACAGAGTCAGACAACATGATAGGACACAACATTTTCCTGTGCCCATGCTGATATGCACTACTTTTGAATTGAACAAAGTGATCGAATATTGATATTATTTCTTACGTAATTAATCAATGGAGACTCAACTATCGAAGCTCAACTGTCGGTGTATTATTAGAGTTTTATATATCGATTATATCTACCTGAGTATACATAGCCACTTCCTATCCAGTAATAATTCATTTCGATTACTGTATTTATATCTCTTGTAAAAAAAAAGAAGAAAAATTTAATACTTTCCTTTTCTGAAGTTCGTTAGTTTTCGTAACAGTAATGGTTATAGTATTGACCATGAGTATCGCGCTGTTGTTTACAGTTGAAAAACCGATTACAAGCTCTACTACAATTACTCTTGTCGAACCATTTACATGTGATTGTTCAGTAATAAATCCACAAATAACATCAAGAATTGTTAATGGTGAAGCAGCAATTCCAAATTCATGGCCATGGCAATTGCTTTTGGTTTTTTTTACTGCTCAAGGCTGGCCTAGATTCTATTGTGATGCTAACCTTATTACACCAAAACATGTTCTTACAGCTGAACATTGTGTTTTTGATTCATCACCTCGATATGTTGGTGTAATTTCTCATCTTCATATTTTTCACTATAGTACACGGTCACCAAGTAGAACACATATCGCTGAACGCATTTATGTTCATGAATCTTATGATGATATGACTCTTAATGATGATGTTGCAGTTATTTGTTTACGTACAAATATTTCTTTAGATTATCAAGTTAGTCTTGCGTGTATTGCACCAGCAAATCTGGCTGATCAAGAATTAATAGACGGTCAACCTCTTGTAGCTATAGATTGGGGTGCAAAGGAAAGTGTTAATCATACAAGACCAAATGAATTACAACAAGTACGTTTGCAATTTGTACCATGAAAAAATTCATCATGTGAACCACTAGTTGGTAGTGGTGATTCATTAGTTCGATCAATTACTCATTAAAATGGTAAAACGTATTGACAAGAAGTTGGTATTATGTCAGGAACAATTGATTGTGAGTATCAAACACATTATTCTGATATTTATTCTCAGGTTAGTTATTATAATCCATGGATTGTGCACAAAATAAGCACTTCATCTTAATATAATTGTTTCTTTTTATTAAAAAACTAAATTCATTATGCTAGAAATTTTATTAGTCAATTTTTAGTTGTTGTCCTTTACTCACTATAAAGATATAAATAAAACGAAGAAAACAAAACTTCGCTGATATATTTATCAAGAAACAAAACAACAACAACAACAACAACAAAAAGAAAAAAAAGAATAAGAAGAAAAAGAAAATGTTCCTAAATTTGCAAAATTCCCCATTTACTAGCAATTTGTTTAACTTTTTGACTTAATTGTTCTTTCATTAAATTAAAACACATTGCAATAAGTACAAGACCAAGTAAAATATACAATGACGCAGATATAAGTTTTTCTTTTGCTGCGAAAACAGTTATTGATGCACCAGGTACATAATCTCCAAAGCCAATTGTTGTTAATGTTGTAAAACAAAAATAAAATGAATTAAGAAAACCCCAATGTTCCCAAATATTAAATAATATAGCGCCAAGTGTTAAATAAAGCGGAATGACAAAAACAGTAACAAGTAATGGCACACTCATTTGTTCATCTTCATATAATTCATCATCATCATCAGTTTCAACATCAGTACTGGTTGGAAAATCTAATGTAGTTTTTGCTGAATATAATTCGTTATCAGGTTTCCATGTTACCATTGGTAATGATGTTATGTCATGTATAGTAGATTCTTCATAATTAGGTGGAGGAGGCAATGAACGTAAATGTTCATCAAAACTTTGAGATTTTCGTGATAATTTTCGAGTTGTTTCATTGATTATTTCATTTGGTTCTTGTTCTAATGAATCATTGTTATTGATTTCATTTATTTGACTTGTTTTTTTTTTTATTTTACGTAAAAAAAATCGTCGACGAGTAGATTTAGTAGTCGTTTCATTATTATTGATTGTTGGTGATGAATCAGGGTTATTGTTTGTTTTTATACGTGATTTACGATTATGTGTCGATTCAGATTTTGAACGTTTTAACTTTCGTTTTGAAGATTTTTTTGTTGTATTGTCTGGTTCAACTATCCTTTTATTAGTATCATCCTTAGTAGTTGTCGTAGTAGAAGGCGCCTCAGGAATATCATCCTATAAAATAAACAAATATCATGATTTTATCTGTGAGATATATCGCTTTTCCCTTGTATGGAATCATACAATTATAAAAAACACTCTGATTCTTTTCAAGAGAATCATAATTAGATAAGATGTTGAAAGGTTTTTGAAGAAAATGTACATTAAAACTGAAATAAAATGTCTACATTTGTTTTATAATAAACAAGATTGGTACAGTGTAATTCTTATCTTTCAGTTGTTGAGCAGAAAGTCGAGTTAATAGATTTCAAGATCCATTCCTGCTCGTAGTAGAGCCAGGTGGATTAATCTCGATTCAATGAGTCATACTCTAAAAGTAACAGTCTATGATAGGTTGATTCTTATAAGATCATGATCAAGGTTGTCTGAGAAATGTGTAGTGTATTAGTAATAGAATACAAACAATCAATAAAAAATATCTCATATATACGAAGCAACTTAAAGACTTATACTAAAAAACGTCGTTGAAATTAGGAGTATGGTTCAAGTTCGAATTCAAAATTTTAATATCAGACAAACTCTAACTAATAGGAGTGTTGAAAGGTATTAAATATCAACACCTCGTTTGGTTGATGTGTATTGTAATGTATCATTGTCTTTATATCGACCTTGTTTTACAAATGATCTGCTAAAGAAGATTCTAACAAATTGCATTCATATTCTTTCTATGCATGTATATAATCTTACTTTCTCTCTGGATAATCTATTTCATCATCTTAGATATTTAAGTTCTGTTATTTCATCATCTAGGAGAATCATTGAAATTATTATATTTTAGTTCTAGTTTTGTTTTGTACTTATTATGCACTTGGAAAAGACAATGCATGATGTCATTTTGTTTTGATGTTCCTCTAATTTTAAGTACCAGAACGTACGTCAGTTCTTTTATTTCTTCTTGCCGTCGAATTTTGATTTGCATAGGTTTAACTCTGGGTTTGGTGGAAAATACCGAAAAGGAAAATATCGAAAAGGCAAAATGTCGAAAAAAAAGTAGGAAAATGTCGAAAAGGAAAATATAGAAGGTGAAAATATCGAAAGGAAAAATGTCGAAAGAAAAGATGCTGTAAAACACTTATTTGGATCATCTCATGTGTTATTGATTCTTGTCAAATCAGTTCATTTTCTTCTACTGTAGCGCCTATCGTAACTTTTTGGGAAAGAAACTCAACAATTCAATATAACTGCAACGATAGATGCTATATCCACATTCTCATCTTCACATTCTGATGCTCATGAGCATAGGTGTGCCATCCAGCGTTACAGTCACAATCAGTTATTGAATATTCTTTCCGAAAAACTACGATAGATGCTACAGTTCAAGAAAATGAACTGATTTGACAAGAATCAATAACACATGAGATGATCCAAATAAGTGCTTTACAGCATCTTTTCTTTCGACATTTTTCCTTTCGATATTTTCACCTTCTATATTTTCCTTTTCGACATTTTCCTACTTTTTTTTCGACATTTTGCCTTTTCGATATTTTCCTTTTCGGCATTTTCCGTCAATCCCTTTTTACATATCCACATCCACGCCCTATTTGATATTATTTTTATTTTGGATTGACAGACTTCATCCAAGGGTTTGATACAGGACTCCACCCCACACCGTCATGTAGATAGTGTTGGATAGGGTTATTCCTTGTTTTCAGAGCAATAAATTTTAATTGAAAACCTGAAGTTATGTGATAATCTTTATAGGAAAACCTTTCGTGTATGTTTTACTTTATGCTGAAATCTTCTAATAATCATTTATTTAATATAATTATTCTAGATGTTTTTTACACTGGTTTTGTTAAATAATAAAATATATTGAACGTTAAATCTCTTGTTTATTTAAAAGTAATTACAAACGATAGATAACAATAAAACATGTCCTAAACAACGAAATTTCTACCACCACAAATATAAATCACGATTAATAAATTTAATAAAATAATCATTAAGTAAATTTTCTATTTTAATTAAAAATTTTAATTCTTTTAAACATATTTTCGGTATTTCCAAAATACACAAAAAGAATAAATGTTGTGTTTTTTTATTAGTTTTCGATAATAAAAAACTAACTATTTGTTCAATTTCTTTTCTATCTACTCGAGTTTTAAGATATTCTAATTGTGAAAATAAATTAACAATTAATTGAATTTTATGTAATGAACAGCCATCACAAAGTTCTAGGTATTTTATTTTATTTGTTTTTGATAAATATTGAAAAATTTCATTTTTCATAACTAAATTTGGATCAATTTCATTAATAGATGATAAATTCACTTTTAATATATATAAATTAGATGTAAAACATAATAATTTAAGAATATCATCAAAAGGAAAATCATGTGTTTCAATAATTAATTTCGTAAGTTGTTTTAAAGGAATCATACGATTAAGAGTTGTTGTAATTGAATCATCTGGTGTTTTAAAATGATGTTTAATAGTTAATTGAGTAACATTTGGAAAATAATTTACACATTTAATTGTTGCTTTTTTACTATAAATATAAATATGTTTAACAGAATTTAAATTTACATTTTGATTATGTAAACAAATTTCTTTATCCAATTCCCAATAAAATCTATAATCTTTTCTTCTAAAAGAAAATATAAAAATAAATAAGAATAAAAAAATAAATATATTTTTACCGATATGGATTTGTTGAATAAAAAATGCCAGTATCTAATTTTTCTTGCCAATTATGTTGATGTGAAAAAAAATATTTTTTTTCAATCCAAAATGAAGAATTAAATTGATTGATTACATCATGATATGTTAAATCATTATTTCGTATAGAACCTTCATGATTAATATCAAAAATACGTAAATATGGCATATAAGATGATATTAATTTTTCCCAATGTTTAGCATTTAAATATGATTCATCATAAAATGTTGTAAGACGTAAAATTTGAACATAATAAAAAAAATCTTTTATTATTTTTTCAACTTTATCAAAATTAATATAATCAAATTTAAGAGAAATATATTTTAAATATTTTAATTGAATAGAAGATAATTCATTCATTTGAGAATAATGAAATTTAACAAGTGAATTAATTGATAAATGTCGAATTTGAGGAAGACAACATAATAAATTATTCAATGAATTAAATGGAAAACGACCATCAATTATAAAATATTTCAGAGGACTACGATCATATTTTGTTAAATAAACAGATAAGAATTGTTGATCGCTTTTTATTTTATATTTAATTTTACAATATATTAATTTTGATAAACGAAATATATTCATAAATAGAAGATATAATGATTGAATATAATCACCAATTGATATAGTTAATGAATGAAATTTAGGTAAACAATTTAAATATTCAACAATTTTATTAAAATATTTAAGATTTATATTGTCAAGAATTAATATTTCAAGACGAATAAATTTTAAAATCATACGTGGTTGTGAAAAGATAATATTAACAATAAATAGATTCGATGAACGAATTAAATTAATTCGATGTTTATTTGGTAAGAGAATATTTTTATAATAATCTTCGAAATTTGATTTTGACATTGTTGAAATATTTATTTTAATTAGAGAATTTATATTAATAACTAAAGTTTTAAAACGTTCATTAAGATTAAAAAATCCTTTGTAAATATGATACATATCAAGATAATCAAATATTTCAAAAAGAATTTCATTTGCTAAATCTTCAAAACAATATCTAAATAAAATAAATAATTACATTATTAAATAGATCACTAAATATCTAACAACCTGTTTATTGGTACTAAAACAAAATTAAGAAAATTTTATTTTATTAAATATAAACATAAATAATATTACTTTCATTTTGTAATTTTTGTTTTTTATTATTATTTGACTTCTGAACGATCATATCATCTTGTTGCCGTTTTATTTGTTTCATGTCTACAATTAATAAGTAACGATGATACTGATCAAGAAAATTGTTTTCAAATATAAACGAATGCATATGCACGTGGAATAACAACCTTTGTCTTTTTCTTTTCTATACACAAGGAACAGAATAGAAATAACGTTATATTTTAAATTAGAGAGACAGTTGATTTTTGTCGCAGAATTTTCTTATTTTCGCAAAAAACTATACAACAGAGAACAATTGAATTTTTTTTTTTTTGGTTTTTTTTATATATTTTTATTATTATCAAAAACAAGCCATTTATATATAAACGTATTATAACGGTGATAAAGCAGCAGTTCTATCTTAGAGATTTAGTGGGTTTTATTTTTTTGTTAGAAAATGAAATGTTCAGCATTAAAATATATAAAAGATAAGTGTCTTGAAGGTTTGCAAAAACTTACGAGGGAAGGCCACCAACTGTCTCCTCACTTTTGAGCTGAAACTCAGTTGATAATAGATAATCGAACGTGCTGATTCTGAATATCACAATGGTTTTTGCCCGCTTTCGATTTAAAGATCCGGTTTTTAAAGATCTTGGTTTTTCAACCGAAAAACCATTTTCACTAAAAAAATTTTTTGACCTGTCCAAATGAAAGAGCACGTCGTCAAACCTACAGAAAACAGTTTTTTAAGGTTCTAAGCGAGGTTTTGAGTGAGTTTTCTGCGTCTAAAACTTAAAAAAAGATGGAAAACCGCTAATATTTTTACACAATTTATGAAAGAAAAATTGTGTTTTCAACACTTTTTTACCAGTTATCATTTCCATTAAAAAACTGCAAATATTTTTACGAATCATGGCTCTGTGAAACTGCTTTATTGCCCTCTTTATCACAAATTGCTAATAACATGTGTGAAAAAACAGAACAGAAAGAAAAACAGTAGTTTTTCCTTCATAAATTGTGTAAGAATATCAGCGGTTTTTTCATCTTTTTTTAAGTTTTAGACGCAGGGTGTGGGTGTGGAAGTGGGTGTCGGTGTGGGTGTGGGTGTGGGATGTGGCTGCGTGGATGTGGGTGTGTAGATGTTGGAAAATATAAGGAGAACCCTCACCAGCACACATCCCACACGCACACCCACACCCACACCCACACCCGGAGAAACTCCAGAAATCATTGAAGACAGTGATGAATCTGAATTTGAATAAGAAAATGATAACATAAAGTAGCTTATTTGTTGTCAAAGGTGTCACTTTTTTCATTTATCTTTCCCTTCCTTGCAGCCGTTTTACTGGCAACTGCTAGCAAAATGAATGAAAAAGAGAATGATAGATAAATGGATGCTTCTTTATTTCACTATTTTTCATGAATTACAGTTTAGATACGTATTCAATTTGACATCAGCTGTTCTCTATAAACTTAATTCATTTATAATACGTTTCATTAAATTTTCAAGTAGTTTTTAAAGAATTTTTTCTTTTTGCGAAGCTACAGATAGCTGATGTTCAAAAAAAGAAAACAAAAAGGTCTCAAGAAAGAATGAGACAAATATCATTATCACGTTTACAACGTGATCAAATTGAATGAAAGTCTTATCACGAATTAAAAAGATTCATTGTTTTTGGAGAAAATGAATAGTCTAGAGCTAAAGAATATTGAATAGAAATAGAAAAATACACATGGTGTATACGTATACATACATCAAAGGAGACAATTAATCTATCAAAATGTAATTAAAACAAAAATGTATTGTGCCGCTATGCCGCGGCACGAGAACGGCATAGCGGTATGAGAACGGCCGAGCGGCTGAACGGCAGAGCGACCGGCAAACATTTTGAAATGTTCCCTTAATTGTTTTCTCTCTTCAAATAGGTGCATTTCTACGAGTTACGAATCCCTGTCTGCTTTTCTATGACTTATGTAAAAAAAAGTTCCTCTGGCAGATCGGTGTTACCATCAATCCGCTCGTTTTCGTCATCGCAACATGTATTAGATCAGATTTGATCATTTACCTCTTGGTAAGTTGTAATAAGCAACTTTACTCGTCGTTCTGCAGAGCACAGTATCTCTTTTGTCTTTACACATACCATATAGAAAGTACAGAACGCAAGAATGTAATGTGTAAACACAAGGGAGATGTCCTGCTCTGTAGAACGCCGAGTAAAGTTACTTATTACAACTTACCAAGAGGTAAATGATCAAATTTGATCAAAATACATGTTGCGATGACGAAAATATGTGGACTGATGGCAACATCGGTCTGCCAGAGCAACATTTTTCTCTAAATGAAGTGCAAAATCAACCATAAGTATGATTGGATTACATGTGACAGTCGTAGCGATGCAATGAAAGATAATTTTGTTGTTTTAAACGCTGATATGGGAGAATTTTGTTTTAGAGAAATTTTGAGGCATACAGTTTTCGATGAATAAACTCTATGGAAAAAGAGGAAGCAAGTAGGGATCTTTACAAAGGCATATGGTCGAGTAAAATTTTTTAAACTCTTTGTTAAAGAATAGTAACGGATACTAACGAAAATATTCACACTATACATGATATTATCCGAGAAAATTAATTGTGCTGTTTAAATACAAACATAATAATGTAATGATAAAGTATACTTGATGTATTGTGGAAGATGAACATATATCGAAGTACAAGAAAAAATGTCTCATAATTGATTCAATATTTATTTCTTATTTGAAAGTTATTTTGCACTTAACCGTGGATGAAAGATAAATTCTTGGGCATCATCACGGAAAACTTTTGTTTTCTTAATTTTCTTTTTTGATACAAGAAAAAAGAAATTACTCATGCAAAGGATGCAAGTGATCAATAAATGATTCAGATGTAAGTTTTTCATACTGAAGATTTTGTATTGAGTCCATTTAAACACATTTCACATTTGTTCTCTTCTAAAAGGAAAAAAAAGACATTTCACGACATTCGTCGTCACATCAGGTGTCCCACATATATTTCTCTTCAAAGACGCAATGTATTGGTAGAAGATTGTTTTTGAGTGTTTTACTTTTATTCTTTTAGTTGGGAACAAGCATACCCAGGTGAATGATGCCCGGCCGTAAACGGCCGTACACAGTCAAATACGGTTGAAAACGGCAGCCGTGTACGGTAGCTGTTTACAACCATCGTAAACGATGCATTACGGTCTATTACGGCCTTCGTAAATGACTAACGTAAACTCACAGCGTTTACGACTCCCGTAAAAATACGACGACTGTAAACGACTATCGAACAAAGTCGTAAGTCATCGTATACGTCAGTGGTAAACGGTTCAATCAACGTTCATCGTTTCTTGTCATATTTTGTCGTAAACGGCCGTTGTCGTTGACGACCTACTCTTTTTAAATTTAGCAACGGTACCATGAATTCTACTCTAATAGACTTCGGATTTCAAATAATGTTTTTCAAATCTTTCGAAATTAGAAGAAGGAAGTTATATCCAAGTGCGGATCATATGCATCAGAAAGCTTTTCCTATTATTGCATGCCTCAAAGGCAGTATTGAATCCTGATTACTTTCCACAAATGTATTTTATACATTATTGCAGTTCAAATTTTCATATGCGTATTCTCTCCCAAATATCGAAAACTAGTTTTTACTGCTGTCCTACCAGTTGTATTCTTACTTCGATTAATTTAAGCGTGCTGATTACAAATATCATAATTTTGAAAAAATTATTAAGATAGACAGAAACGTTCGGAGACCTTTTTGAAAGTTCTGAAAAGATATTTTTGACCTTCAGATCCCTTGAAACTCGCTGTACTAAGGTGACACCTATCGTTCGGCATCGCACTGGGTGTTCTGATACGTATTTTGGATTAAGAGATAAAAAAGTGAATACTTTTCCTTTAAAAAAATTTTCAACAGGCAGTTAAACTCTAAAATTTCAAAACATATAAGCGGAGTTTAAGTGTTCTTTATATAAAATTTTTAAAAAACTCATCTACTTCTTTTTCTAGTAAACGTTAATCTTACTGTTGGTACTATCTTTTTAACAAAGTAGTGTTCATCTTACATTTTGTGATATTTACATTTTTGAATCTATATAGAATGAACGAAGAGTTATTGTTGGCAATGAAGAAGGCCGAAAATAGTCATCAACAGCGCCGTTCATTAATAAACGATGTTTCTCGTAAACAAACAAACATAAATCTAGTAGAAGGCCTGTCTTCCTATGCTATTGTGAAACACACAGGTTTTGCTGATTGTATTTCTACAATCAGAGAGGTAGAAAACGTATCAGAGGCAATAGATGAATTTGATGATAATTCCGGCATTGACTTTGGCACGTTTTTATTTGAAGATTATGATCAGAAAATACTAGCTGATGATTCTGATGTTGATGAACTAGATGAAACTTTGTTTTTATTAAAGGAACTGTTCTCGACAAAAGATGAAAAAGATTCTGTAGCATTGCACTCGTACACAAATGTATCAATTGATTACTTTTGTACATCTCTTGTTACTGTTTTTCGGCAAGCGAATCTTTCCAAAACATATTCATCAAATATCCTTC